GGATAATGTTGTTGTCTTACTGAAAGTCAGAAGGACATTAAATATGAGTAACTTCCATAATAAGGACTTATTTTCTCAGCCTGATTAAAGCGAAAATATTTTTCTGAAATCAATGACAAAACTCTCATTTTCCTTAGCAGAGATGTGATTTCACTCAAACAATACACAGTTTTCTAGACAGTCACATGGGATACACAATCAGAATTGTAAACTATGTAGTCATTTCAGTAGAGAAGTAGTAAGTACTGGTAACAAATGCTTCATGTTCAAGTTATGTTGGCAAATAGCCTGTAAGTGACTGCTTACTTACATTGTTCAACAAATTTGAATATAGTGGACTGGAAAATATTCTGACATAATAAATTTGAGATCATCTCATTTGCCTGATACTAGAAGTTTATTTTTAAAGTCAATATAAAAGTTCTTTGTTCTCCATTAGGTCTCCTGTGCTTTCTAATGGATGAGAAAAGAGTTAAAGTCATACTGTTTTTCTTTCACACACCATATTACTGCAGCGCTAAGGGTCTTTATCACCATTTTTTCAAGAGTCATAATATCACGTTAATGCAGTCATCACAGCCAGTGTGAGTAGCTGGAATGGAAACACTGCCTTATTTGCTGCATCACCTGCCCTAATTTTCTTGAAAGTATACATTACATTTCTATCGCATTTTGACATCATACTCTTAAATCCATAACTGTCACTCAGCCTTTCATCTTCCCTTCGAAATTAGGGGTTTTGCAATGCTACACGATGTTAACTCTCTTAATTCTCAGAGAGCAAGTTTGAAAACCTGTGGCTTCATAAATAAATACTAGCAGTTTTAGAAATGTGAGTTTATTCTTAGTATCGGAAGTATATCCAGATGTTTGCTTCCATAATGAAACCTGCAGAAACCTGATTTTCACATCAGAATAATTTTCTGCATTCATTTTTGATGGCTTATCTTAGGACGTGAATTAAAAACAGAAACCACAACTCGCATCAGTGCTGTAATTTATTTTGTCACGTTGAAGTAATAAAAAAAGTCCTGGTGAATAAGTATAGATACATTTGGTAATGATTCAGGGTCAGTTAGTAAACTGAAGGCAACTGCTGCCCATTGAGACACTTCACGCAGCCCATCTCCCAGCAGCAGCTCTAGCTCGTAGCCATCTTACATGGAAGCAGCTCAAACTGGTTCACACAGCTGTGGGAAGGCACAGCTGTAACAGTGCTTCCTAAAATCACACAGAATTGGGACGATTTGTATGAATGACACTCAGATTTTGGGAGCTTTCTCTGGACAGAGCTCTCTGATGCTTTTAGGGAACTGGGATAGATCAGCCCTTACCAGAACCCTTAGGCACAGGTTATTACTGTTATTACTGTTCAGTAGGAAATTTCTACCCTCCCTTTCCAACTGCATTTCTGAAATGCTTGAGATACAGCCAGACCCCAAACAGTCTGCACTGCAGTTACAGAAGTGTGTACTGAGGCATGAATAGAAAAATCTGCTGTATACTAAACACTAAAACTTTGGGGACAATGCAAAATGGCTTTAATTAATATTAATACAAAGATCTCTAGCACTGGTTATATGATTCGTTGCATCTAATTTTTTAAGAGCCTCCACCTTAAAAGAGCATAAAATGGCAATAACTGGGTTGCACCACATGAAGGGGTTATGCAGTTAAAGTATTTTCCCTTAGAACTAGAATCCTCTTTCTTATGCTGGTGATTGTCTTCTTTATTATTCCTTACTTTATCAGCTGTTGGCAGAAGAGAAATATTTGAATTGCAGCACACTGAAAAAATTACCTTGAAAGAAGAGTTATTGGACGTAAAGGAGGTGCAAACAGAAGCATTGGAAATTATGTAGATTCTCACATTTACGAACATTACTGTTTTTTCTTTTCTTTCCTTTCTTCCCAATTTCATTTGCTCTGTAGATTTAATAGCTCTCTTAATCTCAGGAAAATGCAGCGCATAAAGAGAGAATTCAGCCTTCTGGGACTATTAAAGAAATGTATGCCTAATACCTCATGCAAAGGGATCTCCATCTCCTGACAAGATATCACCATGCATAGTAGGAAAATAAGCAGCGAAATAATAAGGAAGACGTACATTTCTGACAGAACTCCCACAAGACAATAACATTTCAGGAGAGATTAACTGGGCCTGTTGTTTCATCAGCAGTTTGTAAGATACAGTGCAAGTAGAGCAGGGCGTTTCCTTCAAACTGATTGCTAGAACATTTACTTCCTCCCCCACTGAGAGCAGACTTCAGCAAAGCCCCTTGTTCTTGGTGATTCCTTTTACTCCTTCACATGATCCAAGGTCTACAAATAGGTGGAAGCACAATGGATAGCCAGTTTGGTCATCAGGTTGCCTAAACCTAGGCCAAAGTTCACACAAAGACCCTAGGAATCCATCAGCATCTTAATGTTAATCTCCACAATGTGGAGAAGCCACAGTGGAGGAAATGCCTTAGCAGCTGGATTTCATTATCTGTGGTTAAACTTCAAGAATAAGGATAATCAGATGGAAATAGTATCAGTTTCTACTGAATAAGAACACAGTGGGACAATAAAACAAGGTTGTAGTGGATTAAAGGCATGAAAAGGATGTGTACATTGGTAGATATGGAGGGACCAAAGAACTCCCTCTTTGTAGATGATATGCAAGTTCAGGAAAAACAAAAAAGGAAGATTCTCTGCTTGGATCCTCTGCTATACAACAGTCAACAAACAAAACAAAACAAAACAAATGCTTGTAAGAATTGGTTTTAATACTGTTTAACTTTCTGAAAGCATTGAGTGCTGAATCATGAGATCCTCTCTAGAGTGAGCTATCAGAGTGACAAGCAACACTGCTAAGTCAGGTGTAAAACATGCTTGGTCTGAACATATTCCAGTTACTCCTGCACACTAAACTGGGCCGAGAAGAATAGATCATTATACTGTAAAGCAAACAAATTAGAAAAAATAAGAATAGATTATGAGTGGCTCAAAACCTACGCATTTTTATTAGACATACTATACAGTTAGTTTGTAAATATTTTTTGGTAAAAGTGCTTAAGCATCCTTTATCCTCATGTGCTATGTGTTTTCTACTTTAATGTCATGCCTAAATCGATATCTAATTATAATTTGACAAGAAAAAGAGACTGCAATGGTTATGATCTACCTGCTCTGATGTTAAATTGTAATGTGGTTGGCTGGCTTTACAGTATTTCCATAATTTATCTATACCATTTCTAGAGTCACCAAAAGAATCAGAAAAAAAGCTTCTGCAAAATCTTTTCAGCACCACATAGAATTGAGAAAGCTCTTTTTCTGCAGCTGATGGAGGACGGAAATCTTTGATGTCTAACTGTTTACTCTAATTTGTCCAGGATTTAAATAGCTTCCATTTCAGGTCTTGCAATCAGATAAAAATCAAGGAAACTCCAGCCAGAACAACAGCCATTCAGGCAGTGATTATTAAAGCAATGTATCCTTGAGGAATCTGAGAGTGCATTTGCCATCACAAATAACATCTCTGTCTTTCTCTAGGCCTATCACACAAACTTCCATGCTCACACAATTGCATAGAGACGAGAGAGATTTTCTCCCCCACTCTGCAAATCTGTTAAGAAATGGACAACTGGATATGTAAAAAATTCTCTTCTTTGATTTTCGTGCTGACCAGTCATTAAAGGGTTGCTTTTCAGAGTAGCACAAAAGCAGAAGAGCTGGTTGACCAAACATATTTTTTTTCACAAAGAAGTGTCAACCCTGAGCTTGTAATTAAGAAGTTAAAATCTGCGATTTATATATATTTATATATATAAAAATAGATGATCATACTAAGACTAAAAAAGTGAAAGAAATCTCCATGTCAGTACTATATATTTGTTTGTTCAGAAAGTTGTAGAAGAAATCCCTGTGATACTGAAATTAAGTGATATGAAAGATGTAGTTAGATGTGAAATACTCTATTGATCTGGTCGCCATTGTTAGTCAATTAGAGAACTACCATCTTGGTAGGATAATAAACATAATAGCAGAAAGCCCTAATTGATGTCAGAACAGTGATGAAAGGAATGAGATTTTATCACAAGAGACTATTTTCTGCCCAAACCCTTGAGGGGAGATTTGTCAGGAGAGTTGTTTAGCATTACCACCGTGGTAATGCTTGGTGAGCTAAGTGGAAATCCTCGTGCCAATTGCATAAATGAATAAACACTAAAAGAAGCTAGGCAAAATCATGCTACTACTCTTTTTCTTTTTTTACTGGGCATTAGGATTTAAATCCTAGGAAACTGTAACATGATATTCTGAAGATAGCGGAGTTACTATCATACTAAAAGAAGAACTTGCTTTTCAGCTTCTCTACCTTCATACCAATCTGAAGTGGTTGGCAGGTGGATTGCAAGACATTCATCGTTGAGACAAACTCTTGTGTTGTAAAAAAATCCAGACTGCCTCTTTATAGCAATGATCATTCTGATGACCTGAATTATTCTACAGAAGTCCCTAAAGGAAATCTGGCTGTCAGTGAAGAGTGGTTGCATTTTTTTCATTCTTGTCTTTTGTTCTGTTGATTTTTCAGACTTACAGGGAGCAGCTAGAGTTAGATCCAACTCAGAAAGAAAACTGCTTCATTGGTTTCTTCCCCCCACCCCTCCCTTTTTTTTTTTTCATTAGGGAAAAAAAAACATTCACGGTAAGATCTTTTTACTTCTGCAGCATAAAAGGAAATGAAGCTTAGAAAGTCTCCTGTAATAAAGATCTGAGAAAGAATTCTCTCAAGAGTGGATATGCTCTTCAGAGATATCTGCAAAAAACAGGAAGCAGTTCAGTCTGGCACCTGGTGCTCTTTGGGAAAACAAAAAGGGAAGCAGGTTGCAGTACTGCTCTCTTCGCATACAAAACTGCAAGTGTTTGTGGCATGGTCCATTGTCCAAGAGTGTAAGAAAAGAAGGAAGTTGACTGTATCTGTAGCTAAAACACAGTTTTTCCGATCAGTTTCAAGATTATCTCCATTGTCTCTGCAGTACGAGGCTGATGAAGGCGAAGAGCAATGTCTGCAGTGACTGGCTGGGTCGTGTGGCCGAAGCCTCCACCTCCCTCCTGTCTGAGTCAACAGGCGGTGCTTCAGTCATGATGAAATCAAACTCAGTGGGACAGATGTCATCTGTACAGCCGCTTCCACTGCCAGAGCCACTTGTCTCATCACCTGGTACAAGGGAGTGAGGAAAACAGGGTGAGTGCCTTGGGTTGAAATGGTTGTCCTTTCTCCATTCCTGTCCCACCCAGTGCCCTGGTGGGGATGAACACCTTGGTGTAGTGTGTGGATGGTAAATTTCATTCAGCAAAGCATCCAAATGAAAGCTACCATGATGGATGCACCTAATTAGGCACTTAATGTGCTGAAATGCCCTTTTGAAAAAGGAGCAGACTGCTGGCGTAATGGAAAGCCCTCAGTGTCTTGATGCATTTTAGATGATGATAAGCAAGAAAAGAAAAAGAAACAAATGGGACAGAAGATTTTTTGTATGTTGTCATCGGCAGAAAGCACAAACTCCAAGGAAAAACTGTTCAAATGGAACTGATTTATGAATACATTTGAAAATTACATTTATTTAAGGAGAGCTAATGGTTTCTTACTGGTGTCCTGGAAGTTGACATCATTTCCATTATATGCATTCTTCAGTTTATTTGTCATGACACGTAAGGCCATGATTTGTTGCCGAATGAAGGTGTCTGGCCTTGTGATGTCCACATCTACTTCTGGATTGTTGATCTGGTTGGTCAAGCCATCATTCATAATCTCAGGCAAGTATCTATAAAACAAGATGCATAATTAGTTTAAATGCAGTACTTGTCAAAATAAGGACTGTACAGTAAACGATGTGCTAAGAAATTTGACACTGACAATGATTACGCAGTCCTTAAATGGCTCCACTGAAACCATGTTAAAAATATGTTTTTAATTTTACAGACTCTAAAGGCTCTTTTTAGTATCCTGGCTGTGTGGAAAGCAGAGAGGATTTAAGCTATCCAAACTCATAACTATTCACATACTCCCCAGCACGTGCACTGACTGTAATCCATAGAAGAGATTCACCAGCCAGCAGTAAGTCAACGCACTGCTGTACTGACATGAACAGTAGTACACTAAGTTAAGTATTCAACAGTGCATTCTTCTGCTTTTATTTCTTAGTGCATAAAATTCTGAATTCCTTTTTCTGGGACAGTTCAGAAGCCAATCTTGAGGCTTTATTGCCTTCCTCATTTAACTGAAGCACCTAATTCATTTTCTTCACCAGTCCATCCTTGCATCCCTTTTTTGACTATAGTGAACATCATATCCAGCCTATCTGACATCCAGACCCACAAATGGTGGCATGAACTTACCAGTCTCCAATATTCTCTTCCATTTGGTCCGTATTCTTTATAAACAGGCTGTGCTTTCTTATCCCACACACTTTGTGCATAACATATTTAAGGCATGGCACTTGCTATCCATCAACACATCTGAAATTTTATTCAGGCTCCTAGCTTGTCGTTCCTTGATTACTGCAGCATTCCCTTCTATGACCTTGGCTAATGCAGTCTAATGCTGCTCACAGGCACCAAGTGCGCTTTTGCAGATCTCTCTCTCCCACAAAAATCAGCCCATTACTCCTACGGTAAAAGTCTTCATCTTCTTTTGTTAAATATGCACACTTTGTCTCCTGCTGCTCTCTGCACTTAGGAAACTGTCCTTATAGGCATCTGCAAAGCTAGCTTATTTCCTGCTTTGATTCCCTGTTAAAAATTATCTGTGCATTTTACGACAGCTGGGCTGAAAAAGGACTGGCATTATTCTCTGTGCTGGTGTGGTATCCTGAGAAAATACTGTATTGCCGCTTCCCTGTTCTCTCTTCTCTGTCTTTTTTTTTTAGTATTCTTTGCCTCATATTTAGGTTGCAAGGGATTTGGGGTAAATCTACGCTTTGTTCATTGTCAGGTTATGATCCACTTTGTAATTAGCTAACAAAACAGGCTAGTCTACCGATGTCTGTGGGAGACGTCCTATGGGTATATAACACAGTCTAGCCTACTAATGGCAAAATTTCATGATGTCTGGTACCGAATGTAGTTTTAAAAGTATTTTACTTCATCACACTGATGCCAACCCAGTTCTCTGTATCCATATTCAAATTTGGCTCTGGTGTCTGTGTTTTGTTGTTCCGGCTTTGGAAAATAAATGTATTCCTTAAAAGCGTATCTGAAAGTAAGAAAAAAGAAAGGACTTTCCCTGCTGAAGTTGTGCTTAAGGGAAAATCACTTTTGTATTTCTTCTGGTGATTCACAAAATGATGACTGCTTTGCTGAGCCAGGGAAGGGTTTAGTCTCACTGTAATAGGTACTCGCATCGCAAGATGAGACTCATCTGTCACCAGTGGCCTTTGAAAGCTTACAAGAGAGTAATCTTGAGGGGAGTATGAACACAGAAGAACAAAACATGACTGCCAAAAATGCCTAACCTTGTAATGCATTTCCTGATGTTTCAGTAGTACCATAACAAGAAAAAACAATGCTGCAGGGATCCCATCCAGACTCCTGGGGTACAGACTTAAGTACAGTGAGAATACAGAGCCACTTCCTCTAGTGTAGAAGAATGCAGACTGCAGTGTTATGAATCACCAAAGATAGAAATTGGAAAGAATTCTGCAGAGATACCCAAAGGCAGCGGGACGGAGACCTTGGCGTTCAGGGAAGCTCTGGGCTGCAGAGAAACAGCATCTTCATCCGTCACACATCTCTACAAATGAAATGGCTGTTGTAGATAAATTGCTCAGCCTAGAAGTAAATCAGTGACTTCAAGGTGCAGTTGATTAAAAAAGTAAGAATATAAAAATTGCCCTGCTGGCTTGGAGAAGATGCCCAGTATCTTGTCAAAGGCAACTGTCATAACTGCTAGCTAAAGTGATTTGAAATCATTGGTCATTTTTGTGGATTGCTTTCTTTGTTTAATAGTGTAGTCTATCTGTTCTCTATTGCATAAAGTCCATGAGAAGTTATGGCTAACTCTCAACTGCAGTTCATAGGCTTTCTTTAACTAATTTATGTTTGATTTCCTCATCTTGCTGTAAAAAATAAAATAAGAATGCACTGACTTCTTAAGTAAGCTTTTTATTTGGAAAGAATATGAGCTAGTTTTAGAGAGTGCTTTTTACTGAGGTTTATATTCTGCACTGTGATTAGTGTGGTTCTGATGTCATTCAGAGTATTGTCTAAATTTAAATGTACCAGCCATTAGGTTGTAGAAAGAAATTCAATCTGTCATCTCTTTGCCGGTATCCAGCTCAGGATCTGAAGATCCCTAGAATGTTTCCGACATGGAGGAGCTGCAATTTCTTTCATAGGAAAAACTCCAATAAATTATACATAAAAAGACATTTTACAACTTATTTGAAAATGCGTATCATGGTTTTATATGAGATGCTAGGGACACAAAATCAACAGCTACATTACGATAGATCCATAAGACAAAACTTTCTTTTAAATAGGGAAAATATAAGAAGTGATGGAAAGCTTAGTTTCCACATAAGCTAGGCTTACATGGAACTATAAAATAAGGCATCTAAATCTAGGCTTTATTATCTAAGTTTGTTTTTAGGGGAGGTGGGTGTTAACACAGTTCTACAGAGAGCATCATGCAGATCAGTTCATCAAGCTTGAGGTAAATTCACCAAATTTCAGGCATTTTAAAACCATGTTAGTATAGCTAAGAGAAGTTTTTATGTTATGGAACAGTATAATCCAGCATGACTAATACGGACAATGTATTTAGGCAGGGATGCACCTTGATTTTGAGTGTTTTACATGGCAGGGAAAAGATGGGAGCTGGCCAGTAAAGCTATACCTTTGATGTGTTCCTCAGGTGACAGAGAGAATGGTTCACCTCTCCTGTTCTCAGTGCACCTCACCTTGGTGGGTAAGTTAGACATCCTGGATGTGTGTCACAAGAAATGTGTTACTGTGTGATCACTTAGAAGTTAGGTGGATACTTTAATTTCTGGGCAAATGAGCCTTTAAGCATTAAGGGTGTAAGAGGAAAAAAATTGGAGATTTAGGTTGAAGACTAGTCTTTAGGTTTATGTAGATATCAAACTTGTATGTGTAAATGCAGCTGTGTGTTTATGAGTGGAGTCCCAGTTTCATCCAATCTGGTTAACACGAGATCTAGTCAATACCAAACAGAGGCATATTTGTCAGTGGTGTGGGGACAGGTGTTGGGATCCCATATGTCTTTGGCTAGATGACTAGTTCGTTAGATTTCATCTGCTGGGATTTAGTTGTGCAGACATAGACATCTGGTACAATTCGAGACGCTCTTGGTTATTTCTCCACCTCTCCAATTACCATCTCTAAAAGACGAGAGTTTCCCATAGATCCTACATCATTTATACAGCCTTGAAGGGGAGGTCTTGGATGTCTAGGGAACCAAAAATAATATTTCTCTAGTCAAGTGAATTGAGTGTTGAGTTCTACTTTACCTAAAAGAGGTACACTGCTTGGTATCCTGTTGTCACTCCAGTAAGGTTTGAACACAGTGTAGGTCCAGCATTGTATTTGCCAACTTCATGACAGGTTTTCATGACAGCATCTCACATGACAGTAGCTGAGTTTAGGCAGCTGGAACCTGCTTCACTGACAATACTGACTAGATACTGGAGCTCTGTTCAGGCACCTCAACAATGGTGACTTTTTCAAATGCTCTAGCAGGTATTGCCCTGCCTCTGGGAGGTGGTCTCCTGTGTCAAACCTGTCTTACACACTGCTCTAGCTTGGGCAACACAATTGACTTCTTATTGTCTGCAAGCTCACCCATAGGCATCTACATTTAAATGTACGAATTTGTATGTCTGAATGTGGAACTGAGTTCTGCTGTCATTACTGAACTAGCTGACCTGCTTCCTCAGGGGGACAAAAAAAAGTAGAAAAGCCTATATTGAATGTGCATATCTTTGAATTGTTTTCCCTTTTCTTAAGGACTGGTATGGATATGGAAACACGCAGCCCAAAGGTGTTTTTTGAGTGACAGTCTCTGAGAAGCAGCACAGCACACATTTTGACAAAAGCATTTTGATGTGTGCGGGGTAGGGTTAAGTCACACAGAATTGGAAGACTTGTCTTGGGACTGCGTCTTGACAGAAGATTTGTTGCTGGCTGGGCAAAGTTGTTGCGCACAGCTGCTTTTGCTGCAGTTCTGTAAGCGGAGACACCCCTGTGAATTCTAAGCTTCATTGCTGCTTCCGCTCTTGTTAATGATCTCCTTGTATGCCTGGCCGTTACAAGAACTATATGCCCAAATGTAAAAAAAAGAAAGCCAACCTGAAGCCAAATCTGCTCTTTGCATTCTCCTAGAAAACGGAAAGAATCAGCTTTTTTAGCCCTTGGCCTGCAGAGAATTTGAATAACGTTGTTTGTTTTCTGCTGTTTGCTCCTTGCTCAGCTATGTCAGGAGTTTAGTGTAATCTACATTGTTTTCTAAAATATTAATGCTTTCTATTCCTCTTAGCCTTTCTGCTGTTCTTGCTTGTCTCAGCAGACACATGAAAATGCCTTCTGGCATACCATACCTGAGCACTACAAAACCTATTTAAAACCACTTTCTCTTTCTCTCTGTCCCTTTCTTTTTAACATCCATTTAATGTTTTAGAGTATTTACTTCCTCTTTTTAAAGTCTAGAAATGACTGATGAATCTTTCAGGCAATATATAAAAGTCCTAGCTATCAAAAACACCCAAACCAAAACAATAATAACAGGAAAGGAGGGATGCCCTGTTTTTTGAAAGACACCTGCAGTACTGTGCCAGTACTGGCATTTTTTTTTCCAGGTGCCCCAAACCATTGGGAATATAGAACAAAATGCAGCACAGGATTATCCTGGAAAGGATAGGGTTAGGCAGTCACATCTGGTCTGGAAAGATAAGTGTGGTGGAAAATTGGTTATGTGGCTAACTGGATATCCTCATCCGATTCTGCTTGCTCAGAAGGCACTCAAAGGGTGTTTTCAGTGTTCTTTCAATAATTTCTTCTCCATGTTGGAGCAAAGCTTGAGGAGTCAAAAGGAGAGGGAGATAATGATTCATCTGCCAGTTTTTGTTTGAAGGAAGAGTCCAGAAAAAATAAATTTGGGCCTTCAGCTAATAGGCAGTTTTTGCACTCAGGAGAAGTGGTTTATTCACAGTTACAGCTGTGGTGCTTACTGGTTATCTTTGTCTATCTGAGTAAAGCACTTTCACCTCACTCTCACTGCAAGTTTTGCTGTTGAGCAAGGAGTGGCATTCCCAGTACAGGCACTGTACAGGTGAATGCTTCATCCCATCTGAATCCACCAGGCTGGAAGTAGGTGCTCACCCACATGCAGCAAGAAGAGAAAATTTCAGGCCAGCTAAGATGCAGTCCTGTGTTCATTTTGATGAAATAACCTGTGATTTTGAATTCAGCACTGAAAACGGTAGTGTTCCTTTCTCCTTTTTTTTTCCCCCAACTTTCTCTGTCTTTTCTGTTCGCAATTACTTTGTCTTATCTACTTATTGTTGACTTGAGCGCCATCTCTCATGTGGGTTGGTTGAAAGCAGTTGGTTGAGGTAGCCAAAGCCATTCGATGCTCTTCTCCCATGCATCTTAACAGTTGCAGATTTGGTTACCATTCTCACTGCAGTAACAGTCACTTTGTTTATTCAAGGGATAATACCTGGGATTTGGTGTAAATCCTCCTAAACCCCAAATTCCTTAATTCCTGGGAATATTCCTTAATTTCTAGGAAACAATTATTTTTGAAGAAATTATCAGCTGTTCCTAAAGATTTATTTGCAGATAGGAAAACACTACATTTTCAAAGTCTGGTTGTACTGATGATTTCAGATTCTAAATGTCTTTTAAAAAAATTCGCCTCTGTACAGCTGGCAGAAGATATTCATTATTTAAACATAAAATTACGTTCAAGTTTATTTTATGAATATAGATATGATGGGAAGCTCTGCTTGGCGTCTCTCAAAGGCACTTTATCAGAGGAAGCTATTTTTTTTTTAAATTATTTTCCAAAATAAGAGTTTAATGTGTTCCCATTTCCACAGTACCTGATTTCTACCTGATGTGACCTCATTAAAACCCCTCTTCACAGAGGATCAGCAACATGCCAAGTGCAGCCTTCCAGAACACTATAATGGATCACTCTGTTACCCTATGATTATCTGCGAGTTGGCAAACTTCGTTTAGCCCCTGCTGGTGTCACTGTAAATTAATCATGGCAGCAGAATGATACCTGGGGACCGCAATAACCACAAGTGACCTTGGCATAATGCCTCTCTCAGGAGAAGGCCTTGCTTTAATTTTCTGTGATCTCTTGTTTTCCTGCAAAAGCACCATCAAAAGGTGATGTGTAAAATGAAATGTGAAGCACAATGTGCATCTGGCAATTCAAAGTTTCTTTGTACAGCCACAGGATCTCATCAACAATGAGCTACAATCTCCTTTCCCAGCAGTCACCAACACCATGTTGTCTTCTCATTTTTAGTACTATTGTCTAGGGGAAATAGGAGGTGACTAAATTTCTTCTTCTTTTTTTTTTTTTTCCATCAAGAGCTGCTGTGATGTTCTCCAGAACTCCAAATGCAACTCTTCATACACCACAGGGGTACTTTTGACAGGTTACACAATGAAGAGAAATAGAAATATGCACAGTGGACAGATTTTGCCACCCTTGCTATTGCAAGTTAGCATTTGCTATCAGATGCTAGTCAGTATGAGTATGGAAATATTTATCGTTTTTCTTTAAGCTGCAGTAAATGTTCACCAAGGCGATCTTGCTTATCAAGCTAATTACATTTTCAATATTATTTCATATACAGGCCATGGAGTCCTATAGTATCTGTCTGATTTATTACTATTCCCTCCACCTCAAGCATTTATTGAATTCTGTTACTAAGACAATAATCACACATTTCCTTTGTGAATGCGTACAAAATAGAAAACTGAAGAGCTGTGATCGGGTCTGCTGAGACAGTGTTGTCAGGTGATGCTCTGAAGCTGTGATTCCACATCCACTGATATGTTTGTGTTAAATTAATCAAGATTATCAGCATAGGAGAGAGGTACTGAATGGCTTCAGAACATTAATCTGAGGAGTTGCCATGAAACTAACCAGGCTTTTCATAAGATAAATACTGCAAAAGGAGGATGGAAGTCTTAAAACTCATCTCCCCCAAACCTTGGAGTGTTTGCTAGCCTCTTTGATACAGAAGAGAGCTGAAAGGAATAGATCAGATATGGTATGAATACTAGCATTGATCATGGGAAGCAGGAGGGATAGCAACAGGTTTGTTTAACTGCTCATTTATAGAAAGAGCAACACATACTTCTTAATGTATGCATGTTGATGTGGTACGTATGGTACCATGGACACTCAAATTTCTCAATACCTCCTTTCTCCCCCCAGTCATGAGCACTGCTGCAGACCTGAAACCTGCCTGCTCCTGCTATGGTCCTTGAGCTGGTCAGTCTCTCCTCTCTCCCTTTCTCAGCACAGTTGATCAGAAAATCTCCTCTTTCAACTGACAAAACCACACTGGGACCCTCTCACCAGCCCAGCCACAGCCAGAGCTGAAGCAACCTCAGAATTAAAACTCACTGAAAAGTCATTGCTAACAAGGGCAGATGACTACCGTGTCACTGACAAATTAAGACAAGGTCAAGCTTTCTGCACAAGATAATGAAGAGTAAGACTGTTACATTCATTCTGTGCTGGCTATTTTTTTTCTTCTTCTTCTTCTTCTCCTTCTTTTTTTTCTTTTTCATTTTTCTTTTCTTTTTTTTCCTATTTTTCCCAGCAAATAACCCTAAGCTCTGCCAGCCAATAGCCAGTAGAGCCAAAATTCCAATTTTCTGTTTCATCCCAGTATGGCATCCCAAGAGTGCAATTGCTTCACAAGCTGTCAGTCCCAACACAGGGATGCTAAATGGAGCTAAAGAGCTCTCAGAAATCTCAGTATAAATTATCCTTCTGGTGCTGAACCAGTGAACATTTTCTGTGCTCACTTGCTGGCACGCTGCGCGCATTTACAGTGACTCACACTCCAGCTTTAATGGCACCTTGACAATAGATAATCTCAGCTGCAGGCTGCGTGTGGACAATTACTTGCTGTCCCCATTTCTGTTTCACTCTTACAAACTGTTTTGTAAAATACTCTGTTTTCTGATTTTGCTTTGTGCCTGGTGGGAGTTTGGATTGAATCCAGTGGGAAAGGCTCCACCTCACCTTGCCTTGGTGTGGCCGTTCCAGCAGTCCTCCTCATTTGATGAGCCGGCTGTCACGCGCTCGTCCTTGCAGATTGTGTAAGGGAATGTTGACCAAAACTTTTTAGAGAGCTTTAGTTTTTCTTTAATGTCTGTTACCTGATTAAGAGACAACGAGAGGGAAAACCAGTTGAAAACATCAGCTGCATTAGATTTCATTTTAAATAAGAGGTGGTTCAGTTCAGTTCCATAATAGATGGTGGTGGAAGTTAAAAGGACTGAAGGTGCTAAAATTGAAATTCCTATATTTATGAGCAAGGCACAGTGCCTTTGGGTTCAGAGAGTGCAAATAATTAAAGTCACCTTTTTTTCTAGGCAAGACATTAAGGAAAAGCATCTCACATCTTGCTCTTTCTATTCTCAATTTGTCTGAGGTTTTCTAAAATATACATCTTTCTAAGAATTAATATGCCTCACAGTCTGCTGAATGTCAGTTGAGTTAAACAGTGTTCATCAAATAAAATATCTCACCCACCGGCTTGGTCATGTCTTAAATAAATATTATATTTAGATCTGTACATGCAGGCTCTAAAAAAAATGATGCATGATTGCAGGTTCTAAAAAAGTGAGCTGGTGTTCAACTGATTTAAGACACACAGGCTGAATACATTGCAGTACATTTCGATCTTGGTAACAGCAAGAATTTTGTGTATACATGCAAGCAGAGACTAAATCTATCTTTGCTATTAGATACAGATAAATATCTGTAGCTGGATACAGATTTTACATTCAGAAAATGTTGGGACAGTATCATAACCATTCCTTTATGTTATAAACACCCTCTTGAACAATTATTTAATTTGGCAAGATTCAGGCAGCAAGCAGGAGCAAACTGAATTTCCAGCACCAACTTAACACATGCTCTGGCTGAAATGTTATCACTTCTTGTTTAGTGATTGGTTTACTAGAGTGGAAAAATCTACAAGAATAGATAGAGAACACAACAAAGGACAGACTACAAAGGATGACTGGTGCTGCTGTTGTTCTTATGGAAACATGCATTTCATGTTAAGCTATAATAGGATTTAGGAGAGCATGCTGAATAGCTTTCAAAGGAAATCACTGAGCTTTATTCTTTAAAATATGAGAAATAAAAGCTCTCCATTGTTCCATTCAGCTTTGAGATTGGCTTTTAGGTTGTTGAGGTATAATATTGTACTTGGCTATTTGTCTGTTTTATCTTTTGTTCTGAAGACATGATAGCTCTCCGAGCAAATGACCCACACTGCTTTGCAGTGCTTAAACTCTGTAGAATGTCACTTTATATGCCAGGAGATAGAAACATCCAAGGATGTTATTTCAGAAGCTCTGTGTGCATTTTTATTCGTAAGAAATAAGTAGGACAGCATTTGGCTGTGAGTTGTTGACATCATTTCTTGCCATCCTATAAATCTCCTCTATATCCTACAAATCTCTTCCATACCCTTTGCCAAGCTCTAGTTGCTGTAGTTTTGTAATACAAACACTAGAAGTGTTTGCAAATCTCTATATGCTCTGTAGAGGAGCCTCATCAAGCCAAAAATTAAATCCCATTTTACAGACTGTGAGCAATGTTTCATTATCAGTGGGGGCAATCTCAGGATGCTTGCCTTGTAGGGTGCCTTTGAGCAGCAGGCAGAGAGCATCCCTTCCTTCTCCCCTTCTGCACATGCTATGGATAAAAAACCCACAGCCACCAGTGGTGTAGATAACCAACACAAGCCACTCAATTTACTTCCTGTGGCTCACAGAGAACTGTGTAAACTCCTATTAGGAGAGGAAATTGGTCAGAGAAATCCTAAAGAAACTGCTGAAAATATAGTGAAAAGGGTCCGTAGGAAGTAGGGTCCATTCATGTAACCTTGGGCAATAAAAGAGCCTAGTGGATAGACTTAAATCATTTATTGTGTCTCCTGGGTAGCCATTTACACAAGTAATTTGATGGTGGTGAGTAATCTGTTTTCGGAGCAGTAACTTCCTTGCTGCCTAGAAGTTATTTGTAGCTATTCACAATGCATACGCTAAGAGTTATATTCAGATTTCTACCATAATCAGACTAGAGTTGGTCTCTTGGACCTCAGACTTCTATTCAGAACCACAATTGACTCAACACCCATTGGAAAGTGATTTTCCCCTTCCTGCCTCAGCAAGGACCAAATTACAGAGAAAAAACTCCATATTTTCATAAAATTCAATAAAATTTGAGAGAGGCTCTCACAGCTGACACACTGCACAGGCTCCTCAGAAGTACATTCTGAAAATTAGAATAAGGAATCTCACTCCCCAGTAACTTTCAAAGATATTAAATAATGCTGGCATATTCTATATAGGTGCTGCATATAGATAATGCATTATTAAATTTCCTAACAATAAAAATGTTTTTGTGTTACAGAAGCATGTCTGGTAAAGATGATCTTACTTTACCAGTGATTATTGGTAAAACACAGCTAATTAAACTTTCCAGGCTTCCCCACGAGGTGTCTCATTTTAGAGCCTACAGAGAGGAAGGCATTTGCTTGACTCAAAAAAAAAAAAAAAAAAAAAAAGGAAGAAATGGCAAAAATGATTACAGTTTAGGGGGAAGTTACCATTTTCAGCCCTCTCTTGATGACTCTATGATGTGCAGGTAGTCAGTGAGTTTGAATTATAGAATCATGAAGTGATAAAACCCTTAGAGTTGGAAGGGAAGGCCATCTAGTCCAACTCATCTGCAATGAACAGGGACACCACAGCTAGATCAGGTTGCCCAGGGCCTGATCCAGCCTTGCCTTGAAAGTCTCCAGGGTTGGGGTATCAATCACATCACTGGTAAACCTATTTCAGTGTCTCACCACCCTCACTGTAGAAGATTTTTTCCTTTTATCTAACTAAATCTACCCTCTTTAAGCTTGAAATATTTATAATATAACACATTATATTCAGAATATATTATATATATATATATTCAGAATAGATTTGGGTGATGCAATGCGTGCCATGATATGCAAAACTTTTGCCTGTGGGTTCCAGTGCCTTCAATTTTTGAGAACTCAAGCATAGTCACAGAAAATCTCTTACTAGACCCCAGAGTTACATGTTTCCCACCGTACATCATTTTGATCACCACCAGCATTTAAAAAATAGGTAACAGATGTACAGTCCCTTGAAAATGAGATAAAAGAGACTAAAGGTTCAGTTAACCTTGCTTGCCTGTGATTTATGAATTCAAACTACTGCATTTCCCTAGTGATCTGCGGCCATGTAAATGATTCCTTGGTATTTCCCATGCTCTGAATTAAAGATTAACTTTCAAGCGTAGTTAGACTTCTGTGGAAACATTTAAACACAAGATGTCTGCAATTCTTACATATTTCCTTCCCACTTTCTCTGACAGAGATTTATTCAGATATAGACAGCGAGATCTTCCGTCTCAGTTAGCCTGACTTTCCCCAGCTATATCCCTGACATTGCCCTGACATTAATTTTGAACTATTCCTCAGCTACTTTGAAGATACTAAATTTATTTTAAGTATGTTCTCTCATAAGAAAACGTATATACCAAGGGCTGTGCAAAGAGTTACATTTTTATTTTATTTGAGGACTATATAAAGGGATATTAAAAATAAGTGGCTATTAAAATAGCCTGGCTTTTATCCATTATTACTAACAGAAGGGAAGTGCTATTACGTAGGTGAGAAAAATTAAGTGTTTGCATCATTTCCAAAGAGAAAATCATATCCAGAGTAATGGAAATATTATAGTTACATGACCCACACTGAGAAACAGTTAATCTCTTATTTTTGCCACTGACTTCTGTGACCAAAGCAGTCACAGGCTGTGCAATTCCTCAGCAGAATTTACACCACCACTTATGAGCTCACTTCTAATCCTGCCAGCACAGATTCAATCTTAAGCAGGTAAATAGAGCTGACCAAGATTTTCGTCTTCTTTACTCACCTTGGACTCCAGAGAAAGGGAGTGAACTAAAAAGCAAGCCCATCATTTTGTCAGGAATCAAACCTTAGAATTCTCTGTTTTTAGCTCGGGATATCTGGATAACTTGAAAATCTCACTGAGATAATTCAGAAAAGCATTGGACATACCGTGAAGGACTAAAAGTGAGCTGATGATGTTTTAAAAAGCAAAAAAGATCCAGAAAAGTGCCTGTGAAGCCAGCAGCTAATTTCCTGTGGAATTTGCTTCAGTTTAATTTCCAATACAAACATGCTTCCTCAGCAAGGGGACAAGGCATGCCCAGAAGAAACATCAGCCAAAAAGCAAATTTTTAAGTTGATACTCCAATATTTTTATTTTTAAAGTAATTTCCCTTATTTCCTCCTCCTCTCTCCATGGCAAGTCTGTCTGAGATTTCTTCCAGTTTTATCAACTCCATCAACATAATCCCTACTCACACAGCCAGAGGAGCATCTTGGGATGCTAAAATGATGTTCAAAGATGTGTCCAAAGCCAACCCTGGTTCAATGTAATAAATAAAATACGGGTCTTGCTTGTGTTAAGAACAAAAGGTTATTAACTTTCTTCTCTTCTTCAACATTTTTGCGTCACACTTTTTTGGTTTGCTCTACAAATTTTGGCAGATTTTATTCTGAAATGCCAGCAGAAGATCCAGCTTGCCTTTCTGCTGTTATCTTCTACTTGGGGATGCTCAGAAACATCTGAACACAAAATCTCAATGAGGGTTAATCCTTTATGCCCTGGAAATAAGCAATTTCTTGCTACTCTGGACACTCTTTCTCTGACGGGCCACTCTGGATGACGTAGTGTGGGCTGTATGTGTCAGCATAGCCACTCAAAAGATGTTTCAAGTGGATATTTGTGAAAAGGTGCTATAATTTCAGGGACTTGATTTCACAATCAACATTCAACTGATGTCACTTCTTCAAGTTGCATTACTCCCAGATGAACAACCATGTCTTCCATTACCTGCCACTTGTTTTCCCCTAGATGCATCTAACATCCCCAGCCAGACACCCAGCACCCTTGCAGTCTTCATGAACAAGGATGCAGAGTTTGTATAATGACGGGCAGCTTGATAGCAGATTTATGGATAGGGAGCTTGACAGCCTGAGCTGTGTGTGAGATCATGAAGAACATACCGTTTGTCACAGACATGGCAAGGT